CAACTGAAATACTCTTATTATTACTATTACTACTATTATTATTTATGACAAATAAGAGACATATTAAAGTCATTTTCCTAGTATCTGCGTCATTTATATACGGAGATATTTAACTTTTGTTTTAGCATGACAGTGAATATATGACAATGACTTAAATATAATTGTACCTTTATGAATATTAGGAGTTATAAGAGTGAGTTAGTGCATGGGTAGAAGTCAAATGTCAAAACTTGTACGTATACAACAAATGAAAAATTGTACATTTATCCAAGTTCATGAAGAAAATATATAATAAAAAATCAGTTAAACTATACTACTTCCGGTCCTTAATATAAGACCTCGTTTAACTTTTATTTTGATCCTAGATATAAGACCCCAATCCACTTTGTTTCTAATATTTATATTTTTTTCCCAAGATAGTCCTTCTAATAATGATAGTACTAGCCAATATACTTAATTAGTAAGAATATTTTAGGAAAGACAACACCTATTTATGATAAATAACTAACTTAACTTTTTTCCTTAATCTCCTTAAATTAGTTAAATTAAGACCGGAGGTACTATTACGTGTTTGCTTAATCCATATAAAGGCCGGGGCGAGTTCACACGGGCTATATTTATATATGTTTCAAATATTTTTTAAATTATATATGCACATTTATTTTTTATGTAATTATGTGGTCGTAGATCTTGTGGGTGCGAAGGATCATTTCTACAGATATTTATTTGAACGGACAATGATGGCATCCACGTTGATGATTCACTTAAGAGGGATGGCAATGGATCGGAACTGTATATGCTGAGGCTTTTTCTATTTATGTGCTTTCTTGGCCCTTCCGTGTATGCATGATGCAATTTTTTTCCCACAAGTCACATGACATTAACAAAAATGCACATTTATTTTTAAATTTTATATAAAATTTTGGTTTTATTATTTTAATTTTTATAAATATCTTTTCGGTCTTCTAATTTATTAGTGTGAAGTATAAATTAGCATTTGGAAATGTTTTGTTAATATTTAAAATTTCAATTGTAAAGTTTGTTTGTTAATTAAACTAACAGGGTTAGGATTTAGATGATTGGAAAAACACCCCATAAATATATATATAATTTTTGTCAAGCTAAAAGTCCGTTTGGATCCTTAACTATAATATGAATTTTGATCAGGTCACACAATTAGGGAAATAAATATTCCAATATCAAAATCAAGAGTTACCAATCCATTATACGATGCATCAAAAAGAAAATATCAAACATTTTATTTCGATTCCCTACATGTAAAATGATTTAAATTTAGTTTTGGTGTATTATTTTTTAGTCAACATGTCAGGGAAAAATATTTTAAAGTTAAATATTCATAAAACTGTATTTTCAATTTAATCTCCCACCTATTCTTAGCTTTTCCTAAATTAGCTTCTCATAAAAACATCCGTTATCAATAACATTTATTTTGTTATAAATGTCATGTCAATATACCAAAAAGAAGACGAATTAGGTGTTGACGAAATTTCCAAAAAACAAAAAAACACATCAACTCTTATTTTCATTTTTCTTCTCGATCATAACTTCTAATTATTTCTTCCCGTCCTCTCTTCGCGTAATGCGTCTCGTGCATGTGCGTGTTTCAAACTTTTTTTTTTTTTAAATAACAAAACTCTTTCATTTTTTATAAATATTTTTTATCTATCCAATAGTGACATAAGGACTAGGTGCTTCCCTTGGCTTTCAACAATACTTATATCAAGTTTTTTATATCTCTCATATCAAGTTTTTCAATTATATATGATCATATATCTTATTTTAAAAATACCAGTATTTAATTATAAATTCACATGAAATAAAAAATGACATGTGGTCATGTGTAATTGGAAAACTTCATATAATAAATACTACCTCCGGTCCTAATTATAAGAATCAGTTGACTAATTTGAGAAGATTAAGAAAGTGAGTTGAGTTAGTTATTTGTTCTAAATAGGTATTGTCTTTCCTAAAATATCTTTGCTAATCAAGTGTATTGACTAAAAATATACTTATTAGAAAGGCTACTTTAAAATATATATATATATATATAAATATAAGAGACAAAGTGGATTGAGGTCTTATATTTAGGATCAAAATAAAAGTCAAACAGGATTTTATATTGAAGACCGGAGGTAGTATAAAGAGGTTGAGCTAAGTTTTTTGAAGTAGATTCAACTCTTTTGCCTTTTTATTTTTTTTAATAAAATTCTGATATCTGCATAAAATACTTGCCTTAATTCACTTTCTGCACTGCCAATTCTTGTATGCCAAATGGAGTATAGTGTAATTTATGGTAGGGAAGAAGATTGCAACTAACACATGGGACTATCTATATAGAGTATGTGGGAAGCAATAAGGAAATGCTATTAAATGGGGCCGTCCTCATTTTATCTCACTTTATTTTATTCCTCTCTCCGACTCTATACCAATGCCTTCAAATTCAAGTTTCACATTTCCCAAATTAAGCTCCTCTCAACACATGACTATCTTAATTATCATTATCTCTTCTCTTTATTTCTTAATTAAACTTAGGGAATGTTTTCAATATATAAATTTCGATACCTAACTCCTTATTCCCAAATCTCTACCCCTCGTCTTAGGCGGGGAAGATAGAGTCCCGCAAACATTATTTACATTATACGTTGGGCTAACGGCAACTCCTCTCATATGAAGAGGCAACAAGCATTTTTTTTCCCCTTCACATTATCAAATTCGAACAAAGCCATTAAAGCTTCAACATTTGGGGACTATGTATTTTATTTAACTTCTTTTTCACCCTTTTTGTCCTGAGGCTTTTATGCTATGTTGAGACAACAATACTTAATACTCTTCCGGTTTTAAATATAAAACTTATTTTGTAGTACAAATTGTATTATAAAATAATTTTTATATTTAAGACTGGGAGAGTAGATAATTTAGTAAATCATAATCCACTTGTCCACAAAACTATAAACTATTCTGGTATAGCAAATACAGCCAAAAAAAAGAAAACTCCGGTCACAGAATTCCACATCAAAGCACATAACAAGGAAAAAAAAAACTCAAAAACATCAATTCATCACCATACTCAATTATCTATAAGCATATCATGAGAGGACAATTTACTTAACCACCAGTCAAAACCTGAAGTTAGATTAGTCGTGGCACTTAATAATTTTATCTCAATTGAGGTTTAATTTCATCTCAAGAGTTTTTGTTAAATATCCGAAACTTTTATTGGGTGTGTCACCTTGAGAGTGCTGAAACAAGAGCAATGTTACCCGACTTTAATGATGACCAAATAAATGTTTGCATGCCATGTTAGACCTTATGCCACAAATGATTGCAGTTGACTATGGCTACGCTATTTTTTTTTTTTTGGGATCATTTTGTGCTGTAAGAATTTTCACAAAAGAATAATACTGCCTTGAAAATGATATAGAATGAATAATATCACCCAAGTTTGACAATGGACTGAAAAAAAAAAAAAAGCACATGAAAGATCGATGAAGACGCACCACATGCTTTCTTGCCAGGCAATCTCTCATGATACTTTGCTCACAATAGTCGCTGTAATGCCAGAAGGGGTGTTTGGCAACTTCCAAGCCATGGTTTCAAAAACACTTTTTCGTAAAATAAGACAAACTCCTCCACATATTTATTTCGTAAACTGTAAAAGTACTTCTGAAACCATAATTTGGTTTCTATACAAACACCCCTTAGAATTGCATACAAAATTTTATTAATTAGATGAGTTAAATTGCAAGAGATGGACATTATTATTCATGTTTGACTTTGATGAATTCAAGTTATTTGCAGTGATGTGGAGAGGGAAAGGGAGTGGATTAATAATAAGGGTTGGGTGAGACATCGATCGTCTTTGTCATATACTTCGTTTTGTATATTCATCAGGCTGCCATATGCTTTTTATTCATTTTGCTGTTAAATTTGGATGATACCCTTTTTTTTTTAATACCTTCAAGATAATATTTCTTGTTCTTTTGCAAAAATTTTCAAAGAAAAATGATTAAAGAAAAAGGGCACACTACTGCTCATCGAAGTCATATGTGGCATAAAGTCACATAACAAACGTCCATTTGGCTATCCATAAACTGGAATGATATTAAGCTTTTTTTTTTTTTTAAATGGCCGCCTCTAGGCAAAAATTTTGAGATAAAAACGGTTTGAAATCTTTCCTCTTCTTTTTTCTCCTTCTTTCCTCCTTTTCTTTTTTATAGTCTTTAGATTAATATTTTAACGATTGAGATTTAATTTTTTTTTTAAAACTACCTAAACAAAAGATATGTAATGTTATCTCTGGTTCTAATTATAAAAGTTAATTTACTAATCTGAGACGATTAAGAAAATAAGTTAAACTAGTTATTTGTAATAAATAGGTGTTATTTTTTTTAAAATATCCTTGCTAATCAAGTGTATTAATTAAAACCATCATTATTAGAAGTACTATCTTCAGAAAAAATATATAAATATGAAAAAAAAGATTAAAATCTTATATTTAAAATTAAAATAAAAATTAAACTACACTGAGGATCGGAACTAGTAGCAGTATTAATTACAGTCAAACCTTTTTTCTTTTTGAAAAAAATGAAAAGTCTGGCCGGCCCAGGGGAAATACAATGGCGAGATATAAATAAAAGTAGTTAAAAAAAAAAAAAAAAGTGGTTGGCGATTTCCTTATACGGGTCTAGTAGGCGCGTGGAAGCGGCACAGTTAGTCAGTTACCATCTGTGTCAAACTGTCAATTAAAGATTTCATTATGGGCACAATAATGCTGTAATTTGAGAAAAATATGCTTTCTAATTGGTATCCAAGTAAAGTAGTAAACCGCGCGAGGGCGCATACATGGCCAAATGAGGTCGGAATGAAATTGAAATGCGAACCAAATGCAAATTCGGCGAAATGAAATTCATATTAAATTCACGCGTAGTAGTCATGATATCCGTGTAGTAGTAGTCATCGTCGTCGCTGTAGAGAGAGAAACCAAAGGAGAGAGAAAAGATTGCTCTTTTTTATTTTCTTCCTTCTTCTTCCTCCTCCTCTTCATCCAGAGAGAGACAGAAAGAGAGAGAGTGAGCGAGTTTTGGAGAGATAAGCGCCTGCTTCTTCGGCATTTCCGCCAGATAAAGTTAAAAGCTAGAGCTGGATTTATGGACGGATGCTACTATTAATGGCGGGTCTTAAATCTTAATCTCAAGTTCATTGTTCAAATTGCGTGTCCAACATTGCTGACTTGCTTCTCGGTTTAAATGGAGATTATTTGTTAGGTACCTTCTCTTAAGCTCTGTTACTTTCTATAATTTTGGTAAAATGATATAGGTACATGCTCACCCTTTTAAGTGTCAAAAGCTAATTAATGCGTGTTTGTGCTGGTTGTTCGTCTCTGATTTTGCGCACTACTGCTGTTTTCAGGGTTTTGATTTACTGTATCTCGTATTCCTTTTGGCTAGACCTGAAGTTGGTTGAACTAGGGTTCAGGGCCATCAACTTGTGAATCGATATCATAGTTGTGAAAGCAGAATGGGCGATACTGAAGAAGCCCACACTGACATGATGCATAATCTTCAATCCTCGTTCGGAACTTCATCATCTTCGATTCTGAAACAACCTTTAAGTATGGACCAACTCAGTGTACCCCAATTCAACCCCTCACAAATGCGCGCGCGGCATTTTCAGCAGACTTTTGGCGGGGATAGTAATAATAATAAAAGAGTGGGCATACCACCATCACATCCCCACCAGATCCCACCGATTTCTCCATATTCCCAGATCCCTGTGTCGAGACCCGCGTCACAGCAAAATGTTAGCCCAGGACCTACACATTCGCGATCATTATCACAGCCTCCGTTTTTCTCGCTCGATTCTCTGCCTCCCTTAAGCCCTTCTCCTTTTCGAGACTCCACTTCAACTTCCATGTCAGACCCAGCTTCGGCTGATGTATCTATGGAGGATCGGGATGTGAGTTCGCATTCGTTATTGCCACCTTCACCTTTTACAAGGGGTAATCCTTCACGGGTTGGAGAAAGTTTACCCCCGCGTAAAGCACATAGGCGCTCTAACAGTGATATTCCATTTGGGTTTTCTACTGTAATGCAATCTTCGCCTCCTCTTATTCCACTAAGGGGTTCTGGTGGATTAGATAGGTCACTGTCTGGAAGAGAAAATTCAGGTGGAGGTTTAGCAAAGTCTGCACAATTAGTTAAAAAGGAAACAAGTTGGGACAGAATTGTTGACCACAATATAGAGGGATCAGGTGAGAAGAAATCCCCTGAAGGGGAAGTTGTGGATGATCTTTTCTCTGCATACATGAACTTGGATAACATTGATGCACTTAACTCTTCGGGGACTGATGACAAAAATGGTAATGAAAATCACGATGATTTGGATAGTAGAGCAAGTGGAACAAAGATAAATGGAGGTGACAGCAGTGATAATGAAGCAGAAAGCAGTGTCAACGAAACTGGGGCCAACATGCAAAGACAGGGAACCAAATCTTCGAATGAAATGAAGGAAGGGATGAAAAGGAGTGCGGGAGGAGATATTGCACCCACCACAAGACACTACAGAAGTGTCTCAATGGATAGTTTCATCGGAAAACTAAACTTCAATGATGACTGTCCTAAACTGCCACCTTCTCCAGGTCCTCGTCCTGGGCAGATTTCTCCTACCAATTCAATTGATGGTAATTCATCTGCCTTTAGTTTGGAGTTTGGAAATGGAGAATTTAGTGGGCCTGAGTTGAAGAAAATTATGGCCAACGAAAAACTTGCTGAGATTGCTTTAACAGATCCTAAGCGGGCAAAAAGGTAATTTCGTTGAATCACTGACAAATGACATTAACTCCAACTTGTCTCTGATGAATTGTGCTTGGTTCATTTTAGGATTCTGGCAAATAGACAATCAGCTGCACGTTCCAAAGAACGGAAGATGCGATACATTTCTGAACTAGAACACAAGGTTCAGACGCTGCAGACAGAAGCGACCACGCTATCTGCACAGCTGACCCTGTTGCAGGTAGGAACATATTTTTGCACTAATTATTCATATAGTTATATCATTTGGTAATTGTGGGCGTTGTCTAACTTCCTCTCCTTTATCTGAACGCAGAGAGATTCCGTGGGGCTCACAAACCAGAATAATGAGTTGAAGTTCCGCCTTCAAGCCATGGAACAACAGGCAAAACTCCGAGATGGTATTTCCGTTCCCCTTTTAATTTTCCCCGTAGTATTTGTTTTTTTTCTTAAAGGTTGCATACTTAGGGTGATTAATTATTTAGAGTGGAATTTTCTTAGGTTAGTCTTGAGAATCTATTGCGCTTAGAAGCAGATGTTGTTTTAGTTTAGTCATAATCAACATCATAAATTAAAAGCAACATATGCTATTCTACTGTGGTGATGTTGTTTGCATTCAAATTTAGAATTCATTTTTGTATATGTTATTCAAGATTTTATCAGCTTTCACGCTTTGTTTCTTGTGAGTAATAGAAGCTCTTCTATTTTGGTGACTCACATTTCGTCAACTATAATTTTTTGTGCTGATCTTATCGATCGGACTGTCTTGAAGATGCATCGTCATTATTGGGATATGCTCATGTAGTCCTTTGAGGCATGATGCAAATGTTGTTGTGTTGTCAACTTGTTGTTTTAGCTAATAATAAACTCTGGCAGATATATTGCATGTAGGGATCTATAATCTTGGGTGGGTGGTTATGTCATCAGGCGCAGAAATTAAAAATGCAAATAGCTGTTGATAAATTCAACCTGCTCTTCTTTATTAACAGTTATTATTTCTGAGGTGGTATGGCATTTTTATTATATTCCTTTTGAAACAAGGTGTTGTGAGGCCTCCTTTTTTTTTATTTTTTATTTTAAATAAAAGACAAAATGGTTATGTGAAAGCAAATATTCCTTCTGAAGAGACTTCTTTGTTTCCAGGGGAGAAAGGAATGTGATGGTTATGGATCACCTTATCGTATAGCGTGTCCTATAAATGTTAAAACCTAAAAAGGTTCAAGAAATACAAAACTTCATATTGTCGTCAATTGAATTTTAATAATTGGGACATATGTGATGAAAGTGGCCAGTTGCACTCAGTTGTCTGCCAATTTAAAACTTGAAGACTTCTTAAGGACTTCTTGCTAAAGCTTTTCTTCTTGTGCCTTGAAGTTGTGTTGTTGAAGAGGTATGGATAGCTCGTAAGTTATACATTTGTGATCCTCATCTTGCTTTACCTCGGTTACTCCTTTATTGCTTGTAGTTTTAGAGAGAGTATTGACGCACAATCCCCTTATAACGTCAATCTGTCATGCTATTTTTGCCCTAACCTGCTCTTACACCCGTCCTGCTGCATTTTACTGCCTATGTTCCTTTTCACATAGGCTCTTAATGTAAAGTGATTAAAAGCATTCCATAGAAGGTAATGTTGTTGCATTCGATCAATCTTCCGCTCAGATAGTCTAGCTCTTTTCCTCAGAAGCCTGCCGGCTCATCTGTCTTGTCATACAATTTCCATATTTCTGGAAGTTCTTTGTCTTCTTCGCAATTTTTGTAGTGATTATGTGTTTGCTATTTTCTCTATTATCTGAATTGAGCGATTGCTTTATAGTTTGAACTGACTGCTGTCGCTATTGTAATCTGATCTCAGCACTAAATGAAGCTCTAACTGCTGAGGTTCAACGACTCAAACTCGCCACAGCTGAGTTGAATGGTGAATCTCATGGTTCAGGCTGCATGATCTCGCAGCATTCTATCAACCCTCAGATGTTCCAATCGCAGAGGCAGCAATCACAGGCATGCCAACCAAACGTTCAGATGCAGCAACAGCAGCAGCATCAACATCAACAGAACAGTAGTGCTGCCTCGAAGATTGACTCAAAACACTAGGTTGTGAAGACTGTTTTGCAGCTGAATGGTTCTGGTGGCTCTGAAAATTTAACATCATTTCATTGCATTTATTCATAGTTTTTGCTTTTTACGGGAATTCTCTTAAGTTATGATGTTCATAAAGTTCGATCTGCTTTGCCTGTCCAGCTCGGACCATGGTTTGAAGTCATATATATACAAGTCCTAATTCCAGTATTATCTATAAGTTACAGTTTATATTTAATTTAAGTAGATATGTTAAATTGTAAACATTTCTTTGGACATAATTTGTTTTATAGTATTGACGTATTATTGGTTAAAGCAGTGTATAAACTGTTCTTGTAAAGGAATGATCATTCCCGAATGGCTCCGCTGATTAGTGTTCTGCTGTAATTTTTAAAATAAATTCCTGTATTAACTGCCCCCTTTTCTGGGGTATGCTAGAGGGTCAAAGCCCTGAAATATAACCAAAACTGGAGGACAGAATTCTTGCATGGATTTGGTCTCCTAATGGGAGGGCACAATCAAGCAACCTTGGCTTATGTATTCATATGTAGTGGGTTCACTGGTTCAGCCATTGGCACGGACCCATGGGTGTCCATTAAAGTCAATGCTAGGATTTATGGGAGCTGAGGGTATTATAATATTTTGCCAAAACGGTGCTCCGCAATCGAATACGGTTGTGGATAAAAAAATGAAGATGGGGCGTAAAATGTCAAGATTCTTATCCTCTTTGTGCTGAAAATGTTACCTTGAGAATAAATCCACAGCCCTAGAAATGCTGCTGGCCAATTCGGTGGTAAAAGGCGACGAAGAAATCAATAGTCAATACCAATGTCAATGTTGGATTTGGATGAATTGTGATAAGGAGGGGCAGACTGGGTTAGACAATTGTCGATTAGAGGAAGAAACGAAGTGTGAGGTGAACTCATGGAGGTATAAACTGGTTTAATGGTTGCAGAAACAGTGGCGAGTTGCCCTTTTTGGATTTTTTTTCCTTTTGACGAGGATGGGAGATGATGTTTGTCAGAGGCGAAATTAATGCAACTTGAAAGAGAGCCTTTTTGTTTGGGGTAAAAAATAAAAATGAAAAAAAAAAAACGGGGGAGAGAGAGAGAGCTTTCTCAACAATACGATGGCCGTTCATTTGATTGTGTTTATTGTGAGATTTTTTATATGTTATGAATTGCCTTACTTCCCTCACGAGCACAAAAGTCAGGATGGCCGAGTGGTCTAAGGCGCCAGACTCAAGTTCTGGTCCTCGTGAGAGGGCGTGGGTTCAAATCCCACTTTTGACATTTTGGCTCCACTCCAACAGAACCCTATTGCACCGAAATAACCCAGCAAAACATATAAACACATTATTTCCTGTACTTTCAAAACTGTATCATATATTTCTGTTTTCATATAACATAATTGGCTATGTGATCCAAAAACCAAAACTACATATAATGGCGTTCTAATTCACCATGACAATTCCCTTTATTCCTTTTCTGAAAAATCATAGGGATCGCATAAACTTTAAGTCCCATTTGGTAGGAAGCATTAAAAATTAGGCATAGGGATTGAAATTTAGATTGAGAATATCTACTAAAAAGTGTTTAATATAAGAATTCTTTAGTATGTGGGATTAGCCAAACCATATATGTGGTATTGAAAAATACCATAAGAGAAAGTGATATTCCCAATCCCACCTCTATAAGTTTACCTAATCTATATAAACAAGTAATTACTCATGTTAAATACTATTTTAATAATTTTTTTCAATTGCAATCACAATCTCTATTCCTCGTTTTTAATACTTCGTACCAAACGGGATTTTAAAGTATGAATTTAAATATTAGAAAGAGAAAGGAGGTAGAAATTGCTCAAGACGATTGTTAATATGTTGAGAATTGTGGCTCTGGTAGGAGATTTGATTGATTTATAAGGGATTGTATGTTCAAAGTTCATCAGACAACTTGTTCATCAAAACGGGTTAGGGTTGAGAACAGCCACGTTAAGATCATTATTACCATGAACTCCAAGTTGGAGACAAGATCCAAAAGTGGAGACAATAGTGCGAGTATATTTTAAAACATAAAATCAGATCCAAAACTGAGTTCTTACTTTAGCGTCATAGATTCTAAATAACTCAAACTCTAGATGAGATATCCAAGACTGAAGCTGTGACCAAAACAAGTTTCAAGCACTGGTCATTGAGAATAAAAAAGAATTATTTGAAACACACCACTGTAGTTCTAATGCTCTATAGTTTGAGAGGATCGTAAAACTTCAAAAATCCCAAGTCAAAGACCAACGACCTTTGCCTCTTTAAGGCTTGGGTTTGCTTGAATCCATCCTCCATCAATAGATTCCAAACTCCCATTTAAGCCATCATCCACAAAGTCACCAACTCTCTTCACTTTCAGCTCTTTGGGTTCAACAGGGTAGTTCCCAGAGAAGCAAGCATAGCAATAATTAGGAGAATCAGTGCCTAACAACTTCTTCAAGCTATCGAGAGGGAGAAAAGCAAGTGAATCTGATCCGATTAACTCCCTCACTTCCTCTGTACTCATCCTGTTAGAGATCAACTCCTCAGAACTTGGTGTATCCACTCCATAATAGCATGATCCTATGATTGGTGGACTAGCAATCCTCATGTGAACTTCTTTAGCCCCTGCTTCCTTTAACATCCTCACTATTTTGGAAGATGTGGTTCCTCTCACAATTGAATCATCCACCACCACAACCCTCTTGCCTTCGAGCACCGATCGAGCTGTTGCAAGCTTCAGCTTCACTCCAAAGTCTCTGATCTTCTGGGATGGCTCAATGAAAGTCCTTCCTACATAGTGAGACCTGATTAAACCTTGTTGAAAAGGAACGCCGGCCTTTTCAGCATAACCAAGTGCAGCCACAACACCAGAATCAGGAACTGCTATCACAACATCACAGTCAACCGGGCTTTCAGTTGCCAAAATTTCGCCAAACTTTCTTCTAGATTCATACACTGATCTTCCGAAAACCACAGAGTTTGGGAGGGCAAAGTATATATGCTCAAAGATGCATTGTTTGGGCTCTGGATGAGACATTAAGCAGAAAGATTGAATCCCATTTTTGTCCACCACTATAACTTCACCTGGGTTCACCTCTCTTTCAAACGTTGCTTCAATCAGATCAAGAGCACAAGTTTCCGAGGCAAACACTACAGCTCCATTGCTTCTCCGTCCCATAACCAGAGGACGGAATCCATGGGGATCCCTCACTGCAACAAGCTTATCCTCAGTGACAAACACAATAGAATAAGCCCCTTGAATCTGCTCGCAGGCATCAACAATCCTCAATATGAAAGGCCTATGCTTTGACGTTGCAATGAGATGGAGCACCACCTCAGTATCAGAACTAGTGTTAAAAATCGACCCATCGTTTTCGAGTTTGGCCCTTAAAGTTCGATAATTGACCAGATTACCGTTATGAGCAATACCGACAGAACCAAATCGGTACCCTGCAACGAAGGGCTGAACATTCTTGAGCATCGACTGGCCTGCGGTTGAATAGCGAACATGCCCAATGGCCAAATTTCCAGGTAATTGATCCAGCTTAGGTTCATTAAAAACGTCAGAAACGAGTCCTACCCCAGTCATCGATTGAAGGACGTTGTCGTGAACAGCGACGATTCCGGCACCTTCTTGACCACGATGCTGAAGTGCGTGAAGGGCCAAATAGCAAAGACGAGACGCGTCTGGATCACCGTATATACCGACCACACCACACTCCTCGCGGGGCTTGTCGTCATCATCGTCGAAGTAAAAGGATTCTGATTCAGGCTCTGGGTGTGGCTCATTCTCTCGAAGGAGATCGGAAATTGGGTTTTTAGATGAAACGGTGAAAGACGTATTGTGGGTGTCCGCGGCGGCGAGAGAAAGAATGGGTTTTGGGAGGGTTTTGTCGCAGAAACAAGCATTGGCGTTGGCGGTGGACGTGGTGACAGGGAAGGAGGAAGGTTTTGGAAGGAAGGATGATAAAGCAGAGAAATTTGAAACCGCAGCCATGGAAGAGCGAGGAAGCGGACTTGCTATAGGAAAAAGGAAGGATGGGGTGGAGGGACGACGTGAGCAGTCAATAGATATGAAACAGTTCGTTCGTTTCTAGGTTTTAAGAGTTGGAAGTTCAGGGTTTCAAACTGGCAAAATTCAAAGCGACCAGGAAGGCACCCTCTCGGAAGTTTTGGAAATTTCGTCACAATCCCCTTTTATTTTCCGGTACAAAACTAAGGATATTGTAATATCGATAATAAAGATAAAGTTTATTTTAACCTGTTTATCTTTTTTATTTTATCGCACACTCATCTTTTGAGGATAACAATGATAAATTTTGAAGTATAGGATCTAAATTTTGATAATGAAAAACATATAAAAATATTTAAATTCTGGAAAGTGATGATCGAGGAGTATCTTCAACAGGTAAAATTGATTAAATCTTTATATATAGCTTAATAACGGAAGACTATCTACACTCTATTTTTTTAGGAAAAAAGAATCTTATACTACATAAACTACTTAAAAGTTCCGTAATTTGACCATAATCTTGGAAAATATTGAGCCCAGGTCGGTCAATGTATTTAATTATATTTTAATTGTAGTGAGCCGGTCAAAGATCGACAGCCGCGGTGGTCCCCCCTTGCTGCAACTTGAGGTTAGAAGAGTAATAATGCCACTGGTATCGCATGATTCGTTTTGCATGAAAAATAAGGAACAATAAAATTTGATTCTGATAATTACGTGGAGGGTTGATTGAGAATTTAGAATGGAAAAAAGGGTGGACATGAATAGAGGGAATGAAAAAGCAGCTCAAGCAAAGGGATAACTTCGAATCCGCAGATTCTTTGTTTTTGGAGCACAGAGCGCTGTGAGGTATCAACATCCGTCTCGCTTGTGAATTTCTTCTTGTGGTCACCCCATCTCCGAACGAACATTGCTCATTGGACATATCCTCACAAGTGGCACAAAATTAGGCTAATTGCTCCACCTTGAAGTTTATTTAATATTAAAAAGAAATAAATCTTTTCACCTTATAATTTTGACTCGTCTCTAAATTTTATCCTCGCATAACTCAATCCTTATAATTTTGATTTTTTGTAACTGAATTCTCAAATTTTAACTCACTATGGTTTAGTTTCTATAGTTTTCACCATTTAAAAGTTTAGCTTCTAAATTTTATGAAATATGTAGTTTTATTTGTTGCACCAAGTTAATATTTTGGGGCAAAAGATTAATTTTTCTTTTTGGTGAGTTTTACTGCCATTCTCATTAATCATTTGGGTCTTTTTTTTTAAATACTAAAAGCATTATTTGTTTCATATTGAGATGTAGCTTTCATAACGTGAGAAACACGGAAATCATAACGTGAGAAACATGGAAAGAGTTCAAAGAGCACACGGAGAAGAGGAGGAGGAGGTTGAATTCTGTAGACTGCAACAGTAGTGCATGCGATACGGATGGAAAGCCAACAAAGTTGCAAATAATTTATAATAAAAGTAAAGTTTTATATTAATAGGAGTTAGGTCTCGTAGAAGGATTGGTGATGAACCAAGATTCGAATTTTAGTTAGAAGATACGCTTATATTTAATACCTGAAAGTATCTTGAATAAGAAGATACCTATGTCTAAAAAAAATGCAGTTTTATGTTTTGGGTAAGTTTGAAGGTTGAGGGCAGTTACCTGTGAAGGCACTTAGATTTTTTTCTTCGTCTCGGGACTATGTAAATGAACAGAGTAAGGCCCTTTTTCTCTTGCGGACAATAACACAACATGGCCTGGGGCCTGGGCAGGAAAAACAACATCCAGGCATGGCAGCCTCACTAAATTCAGAACAAACCATCTCAAACCATCAAAACATTTAAAAGGCCCAAAAAATTTGGGCCTTATGGGTGAACAAAAATTCACTCATGATAAAACATTTAAAACACAGTGATAGAAAACCAACAGGGGTTGATCCAAGTAGTAAGCGGCTTGGTACCGTTTAAGTGAGGGCTCGAGTTCAAGCCTTAGCGTATGCAAAAATCCCTGTTAGGAGACTCACCCACCACAGTCAGGTGCGCGACGTGGGTCGGATCTAGATGTAGTCGGAGTAAAGCTCCGGTGAACTGGGTGGGCAACCAAAAAAAAACACAGTGATAGAAACTTTCTTCTTTTTCTGCAGCAAACAAAAAGAAAAAGAAATTTACATATCTTATAATTTAACGAAGTTTGGGCTATACATTTTTAAGACCGAGAATTAAAAAGATGATGAGAAACTTAATATTAAAGTCTGATGCACCAAGGTAGAAAATTTTCTGGGGAGGGATATTTTTGTTCCTTCATACAAGGATCAATAATTTCCAAATAATTTGTGCAAAGTTTAAGTAAGATGTTATGCCGTTCATGTTCATGTCCATGAATATTATAACCTGTCATGCACTGCAAGAAATCTCACATTTGAATCTTATTATCTATGGATTATGAAAAGTATAGTTTGGTATAATTCGATCATTCAATATTTTTTTTTTATAATATAAAATAATAGATCGAAGTGCTTGAATGAAATCTCAACCGCTGGAGTTTTAGCTGGAAAAAGAAATGGAGTTTTTAAAAAATTTGTTGTGAATTTTGCAACACGTGGTCAACACAGACCGACGTCGTTTCGATCGTTTTGGTGCTGCACTGTACAAGTCCCCTCTCCCCCCCATTAGGGTTGGATACTGGAGATTTGTGCGAGTCCCGATCTATTCCGTAGTCTGCTCCTTCCTCTCTGCTCTCAAACAGTTCTGAAGGAACAATAATCCATGGCGCCCCCACCAGGACCTTATTCTGGAACAAGCACCTTAGCTTTGGTATGCCCCCATGTTTGTCTTGAAAAATAGTATGCTTTGTGTAATCGTCCTCTGTTACGAAGTGCTAGATTAGCTTTCCATCTTCTCTTTCATGTGTTGGATAAAAGATATTTTCGTGTAAATTGTAAAAAAAACTGGTACATTGGCAGGTCGCTCGGGCGTCTGCTTTCTCTTTTGGCGTCGTTTATGGAGGCATCAAGCTGAAGTACCTCAAGGTATTCCAGCGAATTGTTTTTATTAATGCATCTGATCTTTTACGTAATGGCTTACGTATTCATGTTAATTGATCTGCCATTGTTTTCATTGAGCCGATCTTTATTTTCTCTACATTGCTTTGAACATCTAATTCATCTTTTTTAGTTTCTATTGAAATGAATTGTTACCCAATTTAGGCATCCAAATTGTTTCCAACTACAATCATTTCAACATGGATCAGCTTCTGATTTTCTTGAAGTGTAGTGGACTGTCAAGCCATACATACAGTTGTGCTTTCATTGGCTTCTTAGTTAATGTAATGTGATTGTTGATGATTTGTTTTTCAAATACATATAGCAGCATTCTCTGGATTAGTGTATAAGAAGCCTAAAAGTAGAGTGATCATCTCTCCCATGAGTAGTGCTTTTCTTGCTTGGGTTACTACTATATACAATTGTTTGGTGCACTGCCTTCTTGACGCCCACATCTGAAGTGTTGGCGTTCAGTGCACTGATATTCAGGATGACAGATGTCATATAAGAAGTTAGTTTTATAGGACGTCACCATTTTAAGTGGTGTCTCATGGGTTCATACCACTAGAAAACTGTGGAGATCTCACATCACACGCAATTTAGCTTTTAATTTTTCTGTACCACTTGTGTTCTTTTGATGGAAACCTTTGATTTCAATTGTCATACCAAACATGAACTTCTTAAATACCATGGCACGTCTCATGTACAATACTTTAGCGTCCAGGTTACCATTGAATGTGAGATAGCGGTCTACGAAACGCATAAACTGCGTACAGTCATTGTCAGCTGAAGTGGCTAGATGACCTGAAAAGGGTTTACGGCTGAACTGGGAGATTTTTAAATATATGTTGAGTCAAAAATTGAGCTTGCGAATATTATCGAATCCACTTTCATGCTGATCTGCACACTTGAATTAAATTAAGATCCTTTAGTTGGTTCGTTATGGAAGATTTGTGGCCAGTGATCCTCATCTGGTTACTGAGTATTTGATGATTCTTTAACTTGCATCCACATCTGATGATTATTGTGCTCTTTCTAGAGCTTATGCTTTGATGTTTGAACCTTGATTATATCTGTATTTTTACGCTCAGTTCAAAGCCAAATCTCATCAGAAGGCTGAAGCAAAGGCTCATCACTGAAAGCTTTGAGATGGACGTGACTCTGTTCACGGACTGAGGAGAATGCAACAATAATTCATGAGAAGAAACTGCAACATGTTTCCCCCCATTTTTTGGAAGCTTTAAGGATTGAGCTTTGGATAATGCTATAACAGTTGAATTTAGGGAACCATGATAGAATTACTCAATAATCGTGCTTTTTCGTTGTTATAATAATTAGCCTGCCTGTTTCCAAGTTGTGAATTTCTATTGCAGACTTCTATGATGCCTTGTGCGTCCTGTACCTTTAAACTGGAAAAGATGAAATCGGTTTCTAACATCCACTGCCCTTTAACAATTGCCTGTTTTTGTTGGCCTTTAGCTTTGTATTGATAATGTGTCTTGGGGAAAATGACGTTCTAGAAAACGTTTGAAAGGATTCGTTCCGGAAAACATTGTTTTCACTTGCGTGGAACAACTGTTTTCGTTAGAATAATACATTGCGACCCATAAAGCTGGATGGATATTTTGCTTTCTCTTAAGAATTAGGATTTAAAAATGCGTATAACTATAATTTGCATTTGACTTATTCGATGTTACATTCGACTCATTCAAGGTGAATTTTCATTGAATAATCCATTTTCCCGCGCTAAATTCCATGCTGCTCAAAATGCTTCCTGTGAACCAAACGGGGCTTGGAGATCTGATTGCGGGAAACTAGTATGTTGCTTTGACTGTATGTTCGGGGACCATATGTGTGCTAAGGTAAATAATTGAGTTGAAGGGCTCCTTAGGTCTGTATTTTGAACATCAAATTATTATTATTTTATTGATTTGTGTAGTAGTGAGCATTAATCAAGCTAGATTCTTGGCTTTTTTTCTCATGAATTAATGCTAGCCTTTTTGAATTTTTTTTTTTGAAGGATTGGCAATCAATAAAACACAGGGTAAAATGTCTCATTTGTGTTATCTAATTATCCATAAAAATGATAAAATTTGTGTAGTCCAACTCGTGAATAACAAGGCTTTGGCATTCTTTGTTTCCTTGTTTCTTTCTTTCATTTTTCTCTAGATGTGCATTTTGTTGAGTTTCGCGTATTAACTGTTCCTCTAATTTCATTAGCACATTTCAGTTTAAATAAATATTTGGAAAACAATCATCATCATCATCCTCCATCTCGGTATAAATATATTTAGTTTTCGGGTAAGTATGAAAAATATTAAATGGTTTTCACTTTTCTGGACACTCTGCAAAATAAAGAGGAAATGCTTCATTTCCAGAGTATATACGACCCAATAATGAGGAGCAGTCTCTAATATGCCATAAAGGATCAAAATCTAACAATATTTAGCGCAACTTGATATACTGTCACCGAAAAAGAAAACAAGAAATAATCTCAAAAATTTCAAGTACTCGCACCTGGATAGCTCGTGAGTTAGGCTCAGAAACGTGGAACGCTAGTCAACAGCAAAAGGCAATATGTATGCCATTCATGTGCACCGTACTCCCCATGTATCAGGACATTATATGTAATCTTTGGAAATTCCCCTTGCGAATTAAGTGCATTAAAAAAAATAAATTGAGGGATTTAAAGATAACAAATTTCCACAGTTCGCGGAAAATCCTTTTCGATGGAAACATCCAAGGCGCCGTGGTAAGCACAATAGTAGGACACCATTAGATGCTTACATTCTTACATTCTTGAGTTGGCAATACCAGGGGACATTATCTATACAAGGAGAGCATAAAGCCAAAATTTGGTCCAACTTCCATTGAATCTGCCGACAGTTAGGTTGTGTCCAAAGTGTCCCATACCACATGCTTTCTGGTGAAGTATTTCTCCTGTACATGAGCAAGCAATTCAAAAACAAAATATATGATTAAAAGAAAGGAGAAATTACATTTTACTAGCCTGAACTAACTTACAGAATTTGTGCATAGGCCTTAAAACGGAATAAAACACCAACAGAGGCCATGTAACTGTCATCCTAATGGACGACGTTCCCCCTCGACTGTTTTGAATGTTTATCCATGCCGGGTCATACGTCTGTGTCTGTTGTAGTTTTCAAGCTTTCCTTGCCTTGTCATTACTTCTTTTTTTTTTCAAAACCCCCTCCCCCCCAAGAAAAAAAACAGGCGTAATGACATTATTGGCTAAATTACATTGGGATTTGCGAGGAAATCTTTTCTAGTTTCAAAACTTAATTGATCGTGTTTTGTCACATAATAAAATTCTCATTAACAATTTCATAACTGGATCCTAGCTGGGATGGTAACATGTAGCTTTTCCTAAAAAATTCCTCTTTCATGAAATACCAGCCAAATTTTGCAGGTTGATTTCCGGGGAGACAGTGGCACCTTAGAAGTAGTAAGATATTAAAAATGGACCAACTAATAGACCAAAATATTGTGAAATTCATCAACAAAGATCAAAACTTAAGTCGGCCTGCACAAAGGATTGTCCAGGTATTTCGTGGCATGAGTTCTTAGGAACTTACCGGCCAACAAGCAAAAGCTCTATCCAAATACAAACAGGCATCACATTCATCACCTAGGAGGCATCTATTCCACATAAATTATGCCTTGGTCAGGGTCTTCATCATCCCACTCACTGTCTTCTTCCTGCACCGCCGAAGAATCTGATTGCAATTTTCTCTCTTCACCCTTTTTCTCCTCCTTAATTTTGTCCAAAATTGCAAGCACCTGAAACATTAAAGTTGTGGATGAAGCAGATTAGTATATGCTCATAGGATACTCAACAAAACAGCTCCCTGCAAGTGTCTCAAACATTCTATAATCCGTGATTTTCTAATTAGAAGCTAAAACAAGAGAGAGACCAAAGAAAAGGGAAACAAGTGAATGGGAGTACAAGCAGCGTGAGGAAATGTATAAATTATCCTAAACGAAGGTCAGACCATCAAGAGTGTCTCAAACTCTGCCCAGGATCATTGTTCTATTAATTACATCCCTTAGTAAACAAACCTAAAAGCAGAATCTCAATTACAACCATAAATTTAGCCCTTAGAGAACAAGAAAACTAAATATTAAAAGGAAAAGTACACAAAGAGAAAAGAAAAGGAAAGCAACGTAATTCACGTAATTGATGGCGTAGCTACTCTATTGTGGACTGTGTAATTTGTACTAAGGTGAAATCGTTCTGTCTTGCTCATCAAGATTGATTCAGAAACAATGAAGTCTGATTCATCCCAAAAAACTTTGCAGTCAGATCACCCAGTTCACGTGCAAAACTTAATAACCATATTAAAAAGATTTGGTATACTCATTTTACCCTGCTTCCTCTCTCCATTGCTTCATCCTCAATGAACCGTATCTCAGGAGTCAGCCGCAACTTCATACGCCTCCCCAGCTCACTTCTAACATATTTAGCCTTTGACTTCAATCCAGCAATGGCAACTTCCTTTCCTCTTTCATCTCCAAAGACAGAAACATACACCTTAACCACCTATATATATTGAGATGAGTCAGCACCACAATACTCTATTTAATCAAACAACGATGCCCCCTGTGAGACTGTCACAATTGTGGGGAAATTAAATGGGAAATTTAGATTTCAAACGTATCAGAAAAAAAATATTACATCGAGACAGTCGGTGGATACATATCCCAATTCCTAGCAAGACAAATATATTATATATGATGCAATATAACTTGATTATGTTGCTTTAATGAACCCGGAAACGGTAACTATCTCCATAGTTAATGTAACAACCAATTTATCACGCCTTTTAAACATGCATGATGGCAAGAAGTCACGCCAGAACTGTTTCTAATAGACATAAAAATGTCCCCAGCAAGGCTACATTCAAGTCACAGAGAATAAACATGCACGTTGCCGAATCCCAGAGTTCAATTCGTGTTTATCCAAGAAAAATGGATTTCTGCCCTATGTATCCAAGTCCTGGAGTAAGCAATACAACTCAGAAGCCAGTATGGTCTGGCAATTATTTACCAACACACAATCCAACCAAAGCATGATTTTTGTTCTTTGGCCAGAACCAAAGCATGATGGAAAACTATGAAGTACAGACAACAGACACCTGAAAGTAACCTTATCCGTGCGCACTGTGCAATGCATTTTGGCCACTTACATTAAACATTTTAAATTAAACACGGACTCCCAAATGCTTTTCATGTCCTGGTGTCTGTGTTTTCTGGATGGAAAACAATCCTTGAAGCTATTATACTAACCGATTTCTTCTATTGAAGTATCCAATGGCTATAATATCTGCGGGTACAGCCAAAACCAAGTAAACTAGAAAAATTACTGGCATATAAACAAACGCACAAATTCACCGAAACCATACTCCGAAACAAAGTCAGACAAATTCACAAACAGCACACCTGCAAATCAGCGGAGACTTCAACCTCACTGATGGTGGTGAGGGAGGAGAGGTATCGATCAGCTCCCAATGAAGCTTCAGGCAGAACAGCATACTGCAACACCTTATCAGTGAGAAGCATGTCAGAAAGTTCCCTCCTTATCTGTTTGGCCACCATTTTCACTCTTCTTGGATTGGCCATGCACTTTATTTTCGTCGTCGTAACCCCAACAATCGACTGGTCCACGTGGTTACCCCACCGAGCAAAGCTAACAAGATTGCGGGTCCGAATTGGGTTGATTGAGGTTGTGGTGAGCGGTAAAGGGATATGAAGCCGAGAAGGACATGTTGCCAGAGTAGGGCGGAGCAAGTATGTCATTGCTCTAACTTCGAATTAAACCTGCTTCTCTAAATCTTACACTACTGCTTCCCCTTTATTTCTCCTGTGGCTATGGCGATTTCCTTTATCGAAAATGAAATGATTCAATTCTTCCGCATTTCCTGGAATCCCCGGTTTTGTGATTCGATGACAAATCAGATATTTCACATTTGATCCATTATCATCTGCGAGAGTGGGCTCCTAGATGTCATAAAAAGCCCATTATTATTTGTGGACCAATCTGCCAAATAAGACCCTGAAAATGGACAGAGATTTTAGCCCAAAAGAATGGAGAGGGAAGATCTTAGACCAACTATCAACAATACCCAAAAAAGTTGGGTCTAATATAAGGGGCTTATTCCACACAATATGATAAATCAAAGTTTAAATTTTTATTAAGAGAAGTGATTATATTTAATATCTAACAATATCTTAAATAAAATTACCTTCAATAGAAAATACTTATACTCAGCCAAAAAAAACTATCAACAAGTTATTATAAAAAAAAAAAAAGAAAGAAAAAAACTATTTTAATTTGTATTTTATTTCTAAAGAATTAAAATGAAAGAAGAGATGGCTCTATGTTAAGGGCTTGTTTAAGTTAACATTTGAAAAAATAATTTTTATCTCAACTAACTTTGTAAATTACAGTTGGGAAAAAAAATCAATTTTGTTAATGATTTTTTTGGGTAGTTTTAATTTTTCAAAATCAGTTTGACTTTGACAAAAGTTGGATGATACATTAAAAATTCAACTTCAGAAGTTTTAAATTTTAAAAAATGAAAACAAAAAAAATTGCTTCAACTTTGTGGCAACTTTTGAGAAAAAGTTATCTATACTCAAATCATTCTAAATATAATTTTAGGCCTAAGTTAATTTTGTTGGTCTAGGAATTTATGTATTCATTAAGAAAATGAGTTAATTAATCCGTAAGTTCTTGTAGTTTCAACCAATTTTAAATTAGGTCCTTATAGTTTTTTTCTTTTTATCAGGTCCTTATACTTTCATTTGTTTTTAATTAAATCCTTGCATTTATTTTTTTTATTAAGTCCTTATAATTTCACTAAATTTTTAATCAGGTCTATCTAGTTTTAATTTTTATTTATTAAGTAAATATAAACTTAATTAAATAAATTAATACTAAAATATAAAATATTAATAATTAAATTAAATTAATAATTATATAATAAAAGATAAGTAATATAATTAATTAATTCAGGAAAAAGTTTTAGAACAATTAATTTTTTTTGCAAAAAAATTATTATAACAATTTATTATTTTTAGAATATTATTGTTTATAAACTAATATTAAATAATAAATACTATTTTATGTTTATAGAGTAGTACTATTAGAATTTATAAAACAAAGAATAAAAAATTTAGGGACTTAATTAAAAATAAGATGAACTTAGAAGGACTTGATAAAAAGAAAAATAAATGCAAGGATTTAATTAAAAACAGGTCAAAGTATAAAGACCTGATAAAAAGGAAAAAAAATTATAGGGACCTGATTCAAAATTTGTTGAAACTATAAGGACTTTCAGATTAATTATCCCAAAGAAAATTACAAACAATTTAATCAGACAAAGCATACTTAAACTTTTGTTTCTTATACTAATTAATTTTTACTTGAACTCATATTTACAAAAATTAGATAGAATAAAAGTTAATTTTGTCACTATTAATCTAAATACACTCTCAAAAAAAGTAAATTAGTGTGCTAAGCCCATGGATTAACCCCCCCTTCTTTGTTTTTTCTAATGCAGCGAACTTGTCAAGCAACAAGCACGCGAATAATATTGGGTCCGTTTGGATCAGCAATTGGAAAAGTAGCTTATTGAAAAAGTAGCTTATAGAGAAGTGAAATTGGAAAAAGCTAAATTAAATAAGCTGAATTGTGTTTGGATTAGAGTTCAGAAAAGCTAGATTGCAAAAGTGAAATTGGTAAAAGGTTGTTTGGATTATGATTGAGTAAAAATAAGTTTGGTTGTAAAATGACCAAAATAGATATGAGTTTTAATAAATAATGAAATATGATTAAAAAAATAATTTCACATAATACAATGAAATTAAAATAATTTAATATGAAGAAGTCATAAAAAATATTTTAAATATAAAGTGAAACATGAAAAAATAAAAGTATATTTTTAGGAGCATATTTAAAAATAAAAATATATTTCTAACTTATTCATTACTTTCAACTAATTTTAATTGATTTTTTATTATCTACAAATTAGTTATTTGAGGCTTATAATAAGAACTAAAAGAGGTAATAAATTTCTTAACTTTTTTTCTTTCCCCATTTCAAAAGCCATAAGCCATAAGCTATAAGTCATAAGCTGTTAATTTTAGCTTATAACTTATTGTAGCTTTTCAGACAAAAGCCCGATTGTAAAAAAACTGATCCAAACAGACCCAATTTTGTCAATCGAGCTTATAGAGCTTATAGAGCTTATAAGCTACTTATAAGCTCTAAATAAGTAATACCAAACAGGCACATTACCGCCGTTTTAATAACGACAGTTTCAACTTTCAAAATCACCTTGATCCAAAAAAAAAAGGGGGAGATCAAAAAAAAAAAACAAAAGGGTGTAATTATCTGCAACTTCAATGGCATTTTCTCCCTCAGCCATGCCCGCCTATGTATATAGCCCCTTCACCCGCTCCCACTCTTCGTCAATTCCACACACTCCCCACAACGCTAAAGCCAAAACCACTTTTCTCACATCAATGTCACCAACCAGCGGAACCTGCAGCAAAATCCGCCACATTGTTCGAATCCGGCAAATGCTTTTGCGGTGGCGAAAGAAGGCATGTGCGACGGGGGCTAGCTCGCCATCGTCGGATGTTCCCGCCGGACATGTGGCCGTGTGCGTAGGCGCTAGTAGGAGGAGGTTCATCGTGCGGACGACGTACCTTAACCACCCGATCTTCAAGAAGCTTCTGGTGGAAGCGGAAGAGGAGTACGGCTTCTGCACGCAAGGTCCGTTGACGATCCCGTGTGACGAGTCGCTCTTCGAAGAGGCCCTGCGAGCCATGTCCAGATACCCGACCCGACACACGAGCCTCGAGGATTTGCAGAATCGTTGCCACGTGGATGCCTTCGGCAACTTCGATTATGTTGGAGGAGACTCTTGGCCGTTGCTTCACGACGCGCCGATCTGCTGAAGCATGTTTCCGTTCCATGCGACTGTACACACTTTGAGAAATAGCTTGCGATTGATTAACTAACTATTTTTTTTTTTCAAAAAAAAAGGACTGTTTTATAATTTTCCCCTGTAACTTTAAACGCTTAGTGAGTTTGTTATACATTACTTGTGCTTAGAAGGTGAAGAAAAGGAGAAACTGAGGCCGTTGAAGTGAGCTTAAAGGGATAAAAATGGTGGTTGTGTACTTGTGTATTGTAAAGCATGCGTATTGGTCAACTAGATTTGAAGGCTTTTTGTCTTAACGTGCATCCTTCTTAGTTTCTCCTTGGCAAAGAAAGTTGCCTTGATTAATTGGGTTTACCAAACAAGGCCATGATTTCATTTTAATCCATGCTTTATTTGTTCGCCTCACATACCAAATAGAGAATTGTACGTGTAACTGGACAAGTTGGTTGGAACAATTTACCGCGAATTGCAAACTAGGTTGGAGCATGATGTCTATATATAGAGACTAACATGCACACCATTGAAATGTTTGATTAGGCTGTAAATTTGTTCTAAAACTTTTTATTCAAGAGTTGGGTGCCCAAAAGGCTTCTTTGTGCAAATTTGCCTAATAGCAGTATTGCTCTCTCTGTTGATATTTTAACAGTCAATATTTTTAATGGTATGAGCAATATTGTTATTATTTCAATTTTTTGAGAAAAATTTATCCTAAAAAAAAAACATTCGGGCACTTACCGTTCCTTCTGTACCTTAACCCTGTTTCATTAACAAGCTAAGTATTGGAGAATAATATTTCACTCAGTGTAGATAGCTATAGCTCAAAACAATACGTATATTGCGTCTGAATTGCCGAATTATCAGCAAAAAGGATAAAATGAATGTTGAGTTCCTTGCTTGACTATCATTAATCTGTGGGCAATCAGTCTGTGAATGTTAATTACTGGAATTTGTTCGAAACTTGTCATTTTCTGTAAAAATCATTTTACCAATTACCAGTGTTTAGCGTACTTTCTCATATTTAATGGATTTATAATTTTCATTTGGAGAATTGAACTTACGGATTTAAAAATAATGCAAATATTAAATTTCTCTGTTCAATAATTTTCTCTCGATATGGAACGAAAGGTTGAAACGAAAGCATGATGTTATCTCCCTTTCTTTTGCTTTTGTTTTTGTTTGCTATTGACACACAGGTCTTTTAATTAGTTATACTCACCATCATGTCACCACCTTACAATTCATTCCACTATTGATTTTGCAAAGAAAGCCTTGGATTATCCACCTTTAGATCAAGAGGCAAGTAATATAAATGTTTAGTTCAACTAAGGGGATGAGAAAGATTTTTAATTATCGATCTCTTTTTTCACCGAAAGAAAGGTGTTTGATGATTTTCGTGGTTAATTTTGTTTGGGGTGTGATGAGTCAATTGTCTAAGTTAGCAGGCTTGTGCTTGGCAGCTTTTGTCCAGTTTGTTTTGAAGTCTCTACATCAAATTATGTGTATATGACAAATAATCCTGCAATAACTAAATTAATATCTCATCCAAAACTTGATATAAAATTTTTAAGTATAGTTAAATGACCTCAAAAATTAACATTTTAAAAAGTCACTGCTAAGAGGAAGCCGTATGCAAATGGACAACGTAACCCTGTTTCGACGAAAGACAGCAGTGTTGGAAAGAAGAAAATAAAGAGGAGAATGACAAGGATTTCTCTGTTAATGTTCGATCTTTTAAAAAAGCAACGTCGAGTCTCCTTCATGGCTCATGAATACCATTGTCCACATTATCACATCCAAATCAACACACTCTAATTCGGTTCCTGTATTTCCACCGATTTGATTCATCTATTGAATTTGATAGAGACGTCTCTTCAGTCTTCACTTTCGGGTTTTAATGAAATTGGTTGGGTTCTCTCGTTTTTACTCATGTGACCCTCTATGCAAAACAGTTGATCCAACTTCTCTCATGGCCCTACTTGCTTGCTTGATTAATTAATTACTTCCTATTTTTGTACCTTCAGAAATCACGGGTTTAATTTGGTTGGGTTTGCAGAAAATAGCTGTTGCTTCAATAGACCGTCAGACTGTAAGCGACACAAGTATTATAGTACTAATGGTATGAGGATTTAAAACGATTGATTAACAAACGACTTTAACAATTTGTGTAACAACTAATTAATCATTCATTTTGTTAATGAATAATATGATAAAATGTGGGGGGCGGGCACGACACAAGCCCTCGCTACATATGAAGATTCAGTGAATGCTGTTTAAATAGCTTGGGTGATGAACAGAGACTAGCTTAGTCATATAATTAAGATCCTATTAGAGTTGGGTTAGGTGGAACTAACCTTTGAAAATGTTTGCGATATATTTGGCGTCTTAAGTAGAAAACGTTGGCGTGTGTGTGTATGCATGGCGGACGTTGTTTGTTTTTCATTCTTATTCAAAGTACCTCGTAATCTGTCGCTTCTCCATAACTTATTATTACAACTGTCACTTGAAAAATTTAACAAGGTTCCTCATGAAGAATTCTGAGATCTTAAATACTCATATAATATAATCCATAGTTAATCCATATAATACAATCTGTAAGTTTCAATAAGTTGAATGCGTGTTTTGAATTTAGGGTGTCAGTTACCTCCTCTTAGTTATTTCATATTCTGTTCCTTAGTTTTTTCTATTTCATCAGTACTTTTTCTTGTTTTTTATCAGTCAATTCTATATAAAATGAATGTAAAAAAGGAACAGTAGTGAATTTTTTGTAATTTTCAAAAAAAAGTTGTATATAATTAAAGAGAAACAACACAATTTTAGAGTTTTTTTTAACCAAAAAAAATTAAAACTGCATCATTAAAAGAAAAAAAAGGTTAGAGGGAACCCCCCCCCCTAACTTTTCATTTATAACAAAGCTTTTGCGCAATCAAGTTGCAAAATCATTCATTTTAGTGATGATTTTTTGAAAGAGACTTGAGTGATTATTTTAGGTGCGACTTACCGCACCAGACCAGAGTGCCTTTAATTTTGTTTGTATTTTAGTACCTCTGAACCAACCCTGACAGGACACGTGGGCTCATATCATATGATTCCTCACGGAACTTTACGTGGGACCCCTTGCGGGGTAATCTATCACGTGTTGTCATCCCTATCAACCTGCCTCAACGGCGGGCTCTCTTCCTGTTCAGTGTTGACTCCCGGCTACTCTACCGTCGCTCTCTCACTCTGTGTATCCAAAATCATAGGAATAGTTACCCTCACTAGCCATACTCATTTCGTTTCTTAAAATTATTTACCTCTGGCCATTTATAATCTATTGGTCACTAGACGCAAGCTCGTGCCATTTGCACGGAGCTTGAAATGCCATGGATTCGTTTGAGTCATATATTTACACACATTCATATAAAAGTTAGTTGTTTATTTAAATAGATTAAAAAAATTTGTTATGTTGGTTATTTATAATAAACAAGTGTTATCTTTTTTAAAATATTCTTGTCAATCATATATATTAGCTAAAACTACTATTTGATAAAAATTTTAATATGTACAACTACTATAAAACTACTTAAAAAAATAATAAATATGAAAGATAAAGTATATTAATATTTTATATTTATGACCAAATTGAAACTCAAACTAACTCTTGTATCAAGAACAGGAAGTAGTATATGTATTCTAAAAAATTTAAATTAGTTTGTCATGATATATCTTTTTATAATATTTCTAATTTCATTTGTAATATAATATCTTCTGCTTCAAAGTTTTTTTTATGAAAATTTATAAGTTCATGAGCTGAGATTTGAGAAAATTTAAAAAAAAAAAAAACAAGAGAGCTGGGAAAATTTGTGAATTTTTTTAAGCCAAAAGAAGTGAAGCAGAATTTGGCGTTTCTGTTGAAATTTGAAGTGCTGATTTGAAAGAGAGTAAGTGGAATAAGACATTAATCTTATCTAATCCGCTTTTGAGCTCATCTTGTCCCTGCCAGCATCCTTAGTCGTATCAGCAGTGTCTCATTTGATTTGATTGAGCGAATCATTTTTAGCGTTCCTTCCATGATACTCCTGAAACAAACTGTATGGATTACGCATCGTCTCCGAATACCTTGTTCGCCCAAGGTTTACCCAAAAAGTTAGATTTTAATCCACTGATGATCAATAGATTCATTCAGTGCTGAGAGAAATTGAGCGGGTGACGGGTGATGGATAGTTATTTTTCGGATAAGGTAGTGTTGTTGTTCTCATAAAAATCCGATTTTTGAATCCAAAATGGCCAAGAAATTGGCACAAGATCATGGGTGGGGACACTTATAAGATACTCTGATTGTTTACTTTTTGAGGGTAGATCTTCCCGCTGAGAAGACAACAAATATTGGAAGCATTTCACATGCCGGGGGTGCTATATCAGTACTCGTTCGATTTTTTATTCTCCTTATGTGCGAGTAAATTTTTCCATCAACAATGATCCTGATTGTTATCAAAATTATTTATAAATACATTTTATATAAAACAAAACAAAATTTCTCCTGTATACTTATCTCAGATTAGATAAATCATTATTAAAAAACTACTTATAAAACATTCTAAATAGGTCATGTTCACTCAATTTGATTGGAAACGGATCACGTCGTTCCCATAAAACCCAATATTGTTGCTTAAACTGTACCACTCTTTTGTATAGATGTTGATTTTGACTCTAAAAAAAAAAGCTAAAGTATATATTTGGTCGTTTAATTTTGTACAATGTTTAATCTGGTCTCTTAACTTTAAAAAACATACATTTAGTCTTTTAATCCTAAAATCATTAGGCTTCAATGATAATTTTTTATAACAATCATGAATGTATTGAAAATTAAACTCAATATGTTAGCATTTGAAAATATTTTATCAATATTTAATATCTTAATGTTATCAGTTTTTAAAAAAATTTTAAAGTTAAAGAACTAAATGTATGTAAAACAAAACAATGATCCTCATTGTTATTACATTTGAAATTATTTATAAACACATTTTATATAAAACAAAACAAAATTTTTCCTATATGCTTATCTCATATTAGATAAATCATTATTAAAAAGCTATTTTTAAAACGTTCTAAGCAGGTCCAATGTTCACTCAATTTGGTTGGAAAAGGATCACGTCCTTCCCATGAACCCAATATTGTTGCTTAAACTGTACCACTCTTTTGTATAGATGTTGATTTTGACTCTAAAAATAAAAGCTAAAGTATACATTTGGTCCTTTAACTTTATACAATGTTTAATTCGGTCTTTTAACTTTAAAAAGCATATATTTAGTCCTTTAATCCTAAAATTATTAGGATTCAATGATGATTTTTTATAACAATTATGAATATGTTGAAAATTAAACTTAATATGTTAGTATTTAAGAATATTAATATTTAATATTTTTCCGGTCCTAAATATAAAACCCTTTTTGTAGTGTAATTTATACTATAAATGGGGTTTTCTATTTATGACCAGAGGAGTATCTTAATGTTATCATTTTTTAAAAAAATTCTAGGGTTAAATGACTAAATATATGTTTTTTAAAGTTAAAAAATCAAATTGAAACCTTACACAAAGTTAAAAGACTAAATGTAAAACCATAATTTATTTTATTTTTTATATTTATTTTTTGAACTAATTTATCCGATATGTAATTATTATACAGAAGTATTTTTAAAGACATTATATCGCACTTTTAATAGCTGTTGAAGGAGGAGGAGACGGGAGAATAACTTATCTGCAAACAAAAATGAATGTCAGAAGGGGAAAGGGGAAACTTGTGAGGGGTGCTGTAATTTAATTTGACCATTGATGATGAGGTTTGAAGGGGATTGCGTGTTTGACCCAGCATTGTTGTTTCTGTTCGTTGGGGGAGACAGTTAAGAAAGGGCAGAATGGGAGGCGATGTGGGTTAAACGGTCAAAACCAACACAAGACCAATAAATGGGAGCAGAGGAGGCAGCCTTTGATTCTTTTGTCCTGTAAACCTAATGTTACCCTGTCCCCTCTCAGCTTTTCCTCCTAACCAACTCCCAACATTTACTTCCTCAGCATTATACCATCATCTCAGTCGACGCCTCCCGTAAAAATCTTAACAACTATTTTAAACAAAGCGTAAAGTGATTTCAATATCCTTAATATTTGACCCACTTTTGTCTGGTTAACTGCCATTAAGGTCATAACATATTACTTCGGATCTTAAATATAAAAAATAATTAACTAATTTGAGTAGATTAAAAAAATAAGTTACGTTAGTTATTTGTAATAAATAGGTATTATCTTTCTTAAAATATCCTTACTAATAAAGTGTATTGGCTAGAATTATTATTATTAGAAAGATTATCTTGGAAAAATGCATAAATATGAAAAACAAAATGGATTAGAGTTTTATATTTAAGATCAAAATAAAAGTCAAATAAGATCTTATATTAAAGATCAGAAGTAATACTTGCATGTGAGGTAAGGGGGGATAAGGGAGGGCAATTTATTAGTTTTTTTTAAGTGATAAGTGATTCTACATTATATAATTTAAATGTGCGTAAAGAATTTTGTCTTGCAAAACAGGAGAGTTTTTTGTTTTTTGTTTTTAAAATTGATTCTGGGATTTTAAAACCTAGCTATCATTTTTTCCGAAGGATATTTATTGTTGAAAAGCTATTTTGCAATCGGAAAGTTAATTTTGACAGGACTATAAGGGCTGCCACTAAAAGGAGTTGGCACTCAATTACGTTGTGTTGGAATTGGAGGGAATGATTTCCCTGCGCAATAATAACTTCCACCAACACTTGATTCTGCTCATCATCAGATTGCAACTCATGCCCAATCCAAGTTAATAACTTCCACTGGCATCTCCCTAATCACTTGCTCAACTTGCTTTGTCTTCTCAATCACCTCTTTTGTGTTACCAAAATTCTTTTAATTTGACACGCTTCAGTTATTATTCTATACTCTTTTAATTAATGTGTGATTTAATAGTGTTGTTGTTGGCCAAAAAAATTCAATGGTGTTGATATTATATATATTAAAAGAATATACAATAGTTGGCAAAAAAGTGTTGTCCTTTTTATTTTTATTTATTAATTAATAAGAGAAATTTTAAAAAATTAATAAATATGAAAAATAAGTGTTATATTTAAGATCATAATCAATTTAATAATAAAATCTTATAATAAGTACAGCAGAAGTATTATTAAGTAAACCGTGATGCATGAAAAGTGGAAAAACAAGGATAATTACTTAGATGTTTTTAGGAACTTTATATTTTAGATCAATATATTAAATTATCAACTATCAAGTATTAATGTCGAGACGGGACATTATTTTGCATGTGGAGGTGGGGTAATAAAGGCCCACACCGACTGGACACACACGAGAGCCGTACAACTTAGGTACCGCCCCTTCTCTGACAAGCGATGCACGCTGTGTTTCCTCTTCTTTTCCTTTTCTGCACTTGTTACTTTCGTTTGAATATCAGAGTTTAGCATTGGACCTAATAATTTTGCGGACAGATAGATAGAGAGGAAGAGTACAAGTCTGGGCACATGAAAACTACCAAGCTTTAATTGACATAACCAACTTCTCAACCTCTGTGAGGAATATCTCAGGCCTTTATACAATTTTTTGAAATACTCACGGGTCCTATGTCAGAGTCACATAATAAACATCTAAAAAGAATGAGACATACTTAAATAAAACAAAAAGAAAAGTAGATCAAGAATTGATGAGTGAGAACAGTGAGGAAGAGATGGAGATGATGTTTAGAAACAGAGAAGCAAAAATTGCAGCTTCTTCTTCCTCTTGTTCAAAACCATGAAGAATGGTTGATATTTCATCGAATCATTTGGGTGAGAGATCTGAAGACAACTTCCTCACAGGGAATAGTGAGACCCATATAGTGATGGAATCCAAATTCCTCTTCGGCTTGCCTTAGGAGGGACTGGAATTGAGGGTGCGCCAAGAAGGAGATGGGCACAATGTACCTTCTCCTGTTCTCACCCACGTACACTGCAAAATGCCCCTTTGGCACGTCCACTGGGATCACCCCGTCGTCTTCCTCCTCATGATCATAGCCTTGCTTCCTTCCTAAGCTTGAACATCTCTTCAGGATTTGCTTTATCACTGCGCTTTGGGGCAGCTTGTTTGCTTTTCTAATGGCCATATTTTGCGAGACAGAGACAAGAGAGAAGCAGAGGAGTTGAAGGATATGGAGGAGGAAGAATGAAGAGCTAGTGGTGGTGATGGCAAGAATGGCTGGGATGAATGGGGTATTTATGACAAGAGCTTGGCCCTCACGGAAATCAAGAACGACATCAATATTTTTTTTTAAAAATTCTTTTAACGGCAGTATTTGAAATTCATAATATTTAGGAAAATAAGAGGGTCATGTGGAGGGTGGGGGCCATGGACAGACCACGGGTGTTTTGGGGTGAGGGTAATTTAGGCAAGGACATGGCGGGACCCGATGCCACTGGCTATTCCTGTGCTGTGTTGCTCCTCCTCGTAGCAATATGGCCCCCTTATCCCTCACTACTCCTTAATTACTGCTACTTCGTATCAGTAATATTGTTTTATGATAAAAAAGATATTTGTACTGTCACAATAAACATTGCATATGTAGATTCTTGTATGATGAAATTTGTTGGCCCTATTCACGTGCTAACCCAACGAAGGGCTTGTTTGTTTTTGAATTTGGTGATGCATTCAAATACATAAAAGGCATGTGGATTGTGGAGTTAATAATAACAAGGGCGATGACCCATGACCATCAGCGTAGGCTTTGGGTTTAAGCTTATGAAAGGCATGAATATGATGGATGCCTCACTCTGTTTCTACCAGAATTCACGCACCTCTTTGGGTACAACCTGTGAAGGGTTGGGAGGGTTTTGACCTTTTCTATTTGCAGTCCCCTGTGATTTTGTCCACTCTATCACCAATTCCCACGTTTGTAACCCCAAGTTAAATTATCTGGTCAGGATAAAGGTTTTGATCCATGGCTTATAACTCTATAAACTCCTTTTTTTTTCCCCTTTCTTTTTTGTTCTTGAACTTCACAAACTCTGTTTCAGACGGAAAATTTGTCCTGATTCTGATAAGTTGCTATTGAAACTGAATTCATGGAAACTTCCCTGATTTTGACTTCATTAGATGTTGCATCTTCATATCAAACATAGTGCTTAGCAGATTATTGACAGAATTTATACTTCAAAATAGGACTTGTTTCTTTGCCCGTCCATTATTTCAAAATTTGTCCCTGTGATTCCTCCCACATCTCTCATGTCTCTGTAATCTCTCTTTCAGTTACAGTATTACATGTAACACAAGTGGCTTATGAAGTTATTTTGTCTTTCACAGACAGGGATAAACCAGCTAAGCCTATACATGCATAGGAAGTGGAAGAGGTTGGTTTCATTCAATGAGAGGACTGTGGGTCGGTACTTAAGATAATAAATGTGTGGAGTGAAAACACAATGGAAGGTCAGGCCAAAAGAAGAAAAAGAAAAAGGAAAACACAATGGAAGGAAGGGATTAAAGAATGACAAAAGTGGAAATGAAAGGATCAAGTGCATGCTGCTCCATTCATCAGACTTCGTACAGTTCGGACCATCCCACTAATGCCTCTGCTTCTTTCTCCAAATTACTGCCTTTCAACCATGTGATCCTGTCTTCATGCCCCCCACCCCCACCGATAACCTATCACAATCAACTACGAGTATTAATCAGCCCATTTATGCCTTATATTTTAAAATATGTAATCATGTATTCACTTTTTTAATTACTGATTTGAGTATTATGCTTTCGGTAGCTCCTCCTCTTCTTCGTTTGATAGTGCCACCTCTAATCTTTAGTGTAAAACCTGTTAATTAATTTGGAGATATAAAATAAAAAAACTTAAATGACAGGAAAAAACAAATTTCATACACATTTTTGCTTATTGTTTCGCCCTTTATTTCATCTGGACAATTTAATTTCATCTTATTCCTTGCCTAAACATGTTTCCAAAATCCCACAAGATGATGTTAGGAGCCAAAATCACAGTATTGCTCGTCATTTTTGTGATCCGTCCTTCAAGCTGCTCAGTGCCAAACACTCCTAATTCAGGCAAAAATTCGAATAACTAATTTGCAATTTGCGCATATAAGAGATACCCTTGGATTTATAGTGTAAGGTAACCTCTAAAATCTATGTTCTCTGTTCATTTGCCTCATAATTCAGCCCCGTTTATTTGTTTATTCGCCCCCTGTTTGTTTGTTCTCATTATTATTCAGAAAGCGATCAGCTTTAGTTTTTGATTTTATATGGGAAAAGAGGTGCCTTCATGCTGCATGTCGCCATCGTTCCAAAGTCTATTCATGTTCTGTGACTGAGATTCATTGGACAAGTCAGAAAGGCCCACCATTTTCTTCAACTTGTGATGCACTGTAGAGTCAGAGAAATCCTCAGATACAAATATCAGCTTATTGTTCAACCAACACAAGGTGTCAGACCAAACTTGAAGAGGATGAAATTTCCTAAAATTGTTATCAAATCCAGAATTCTTCACAAAGAAGTGCTAATAAAGATTTCAAATGGAGAGTGAAACAGAGCAAAATTATGCAACATGCACAAGGCTCACACTCTGGTTTTCTGAAAAGTGTATATAAGAATGACATAAGATTGTATAATGAAAAAAGCTTGAGAAAATATAGACTCAACGTATCAGTAACATATATAGGCATTAGAATTATTATGAGAGGAACACAAAGAAGGGATATTCTTTTTGAGATGATGGTGACTTGACCTTCCCATGAGCACATGAAGGCCATGTTACTCTTGCCTCCAAGATCCTCTGGTCTGCTCAGGGCAACATAGCAAGGTACTGTGAGATCATTTACAACCAGAAAAAAAATAAAAAAACTTATGTTCCTCCAAATAAATCTGTAATCTCCTTCCCTCCCACTTTACCCATTAGGAACATCACATCATCGGTGCTTCTGTAATCGATGATCACACCTTGTACGACTCACCTTTTTGTCATTTCTCTGTTGCCTTTTGCTGTGGTACCGAATCAAGGCTAGAAATAGAGTATAAACCACCAAATGTCGGAATCTATATCCTAAAATGTTGTGGAGATGGTGGTTGGTTATGGTTGGAAAACAGATTGAAGTATTTATTTGTCAGTGATATCATCAGGAACCATGTGATGCAGTAGTGGGTTGTGAGGAAAGCTTGAACTAAGATGATTCAAGGAGTAGTATCATCACACCCACATGCACTCCTACTCCTACACATCGGGAACCTTCCCAATCTGAAGCCTACAATTGGGTGACCCATGTTCTGTTACTACTTAGAGATGAAACCATCTGGGGGCATATTCATAATAATAGACAAGTTGAAAGGGTAGGCTAGTACAGGTTAGATTACCATATGGATTGAAATGAATAGGAGAGGTGAAAAGATAAGTGGCTAATTGCATGTATTCCAATTTTAAACAACGACATTACCAAAGTATGACAGACGTTGCAAAACTTACTTCCTATAAAGTTAAACCAATCAAATCAAAAGGGGAATCACATGCGAGGTCCATCAGAAGCCATGAGTAGTACCAACGAGAGTACCTACCGTCCCAGCAAAGAAGGGCCCTCCTCGGATAGGAAGCACATTTCGTATCTCAAAAAAGCATCACGGCAGGATCCTTTCTCAGTACAAAACCCACCAAACTAATTGAGCATGTGGTAGTTACATTCCAATTTAATACTTAATTGCAAGAACCTGAAGACCACGGACTTTAACCTAGCTCAACCCCGTACATATAACAAGTCCTCTTTGTACCCAAAAAAACAAGTTCTCAAAGAAATCATGATATTTCGTCAGATGCTTATCTTTTTCTTTTTGGACCAAATGGATATTAATATTAAGGATAGGAAAAGAGATACTTATAAGGTCTAGCCCGAAGAATCAAATGAAGGGTACGCCAAAAAAAAAGAAATACAAAGCAATCAACTTAGCCAATGCCATTCCTATCCCCTAGAGATCCAGAACAGAAACAACCGAGAGTCACTCCTATGCACTGTGTCCTTGCGCATTAAACAAGCTAGAGGAGTTGATGGTCCCAGAACCCAACCGCTCGGTTCCATCTCCCTTGAAACAGCAGAATCCATCCGCTTAGTCAGAGAAAAGGAGAGATTATCTAAAATATTCAGCCATACGAAAGATATCCTCCAAGAAACTCTGGTACTTCCAACAGCGAGATTTAGGAGATCCATTGACCAACAAATTGTGTAGCTCACTTGAACACTAAAGGAATTGATAGCTTATCAAGAATGAACTCATCATCTAGCTCAATGAGAATGGTCCAGGATTTGGAGAACGGAATATAAGTTTTTCTGAATTAGGAGATCGGAGGGTAAGATAAATCATGAAAAACTTCAGTATTACATAATAATATCTCACAGTTACAGTGAAAGAGCTGGAATTACACATGATAGCTATCGAATAAAACAAGACAAATTCTTCAGTCCGACTAAATCTTTAGGGCAAGTGCATGTCTCCTGGTTCCCTTAATTGATTGTCAGAGATTGGCACGGCAGTAACGTTGTTATTTCCAATTATATTCTGATAAAAATTAGCAACTGGAGACTAGATAATCGCCCTATTCATGTCCTTAATGCTGGTGAGATATGTAAGTTAACAGTTCATAGCGTTTCTGAGCATCTAAGACCAGTATAAAGCACAGAGTTCACATTGTTTTGATGTATCTGAGGCAAAATATGTCAGGCAAATCAATCGACGTTATGTAATTAATCTCTTCTATTGTTGTGCCACCTTCTCTTGATACAGAGACCAACGTAACAATATTCAGTACTACATCTTATCAGAAGAAACTTCAGAATTTGGAACAGAGGCCTATCATGCTCAGATAGGAACAAGAACATTACTTTAAGCATTTCCAAGCATTTTAGCAGTCAACATGTCACCTGAACCCAACTGCAGCCAACATCTTTTTTTAACCCTCTTTCTTTAATCAACACCCTCCTCAACTTCCCAATCTCATCCCACATGCCAAATCGGGCATATAGGTTTGATAGCATAACGCAAATCCCAACATTCTGGGGATCCAACTCAAGAGCTTTTTGAGCTGCCAATTTGCCCATTTCAATATTCCCACGATCCACACAAGCATTAAGCAGTGCTCCCCACACGGAGATGCTAGAGTTTCCTATTCCCTTATAGTGTTTCTCATTCAGTAGTTCACATGCCTTCTGCAATTCACCAGCCCTGCAAAGCAAATCAACTAGGCAGCTATAATGCTCTGGACCAGGATCTAATCCAAAGTCATTAGACATGGATTCAAAATACTTGATTCCATCTTGTAATTGGCCACTGCGACTACAAGCTGAGATTACTGTCAGAAACGCTACCCTATCAGGTCTGATTCCTTCTGCTAACATTTCATTGTACAAAGCAAATACTTCCTTGTAAAGGCCATGTCTTCCGTACACCCCAAGCATTGAAGTCCATAATACAATGTCCCTATATTTTCCTCCTCTAACTTGCATTCCAGCCAACTTGAAGACCTGCCAAGCCTTCTTTATCAGACCACACTTACCATACATCTCAACTAAAGCACTCAGGAGAAACACGTCACTTTCTATGTTATGCAAAGCACGAAGCAAAAAGCTGTGCACTTGTCTACCTGTTTCAATTGCAGATAATCCAGTGCATGCACGTAAAGCGGCTGATAATGTATAGCGATCACATTTCAACTTCAACATGGGCATTTTCCTAATCAGTTCAAGTTCTTGGACCCAGAGTCCAGCCTCACCATAACCAGCCAAAAGTGCATTGACACAGACAGTATTCTTCTGGGGAATTTCGTCGAACATAAGGGCGGCATCTTTCACGTTTGAGAATTTTGAGTACAAATCAACGAGAGCAGAACCCACAAAAACACTAGATAACCAACCTGATTTTCCCCCAGTGGCATGAATCTGCTTTCCAAATGTAATATCTTTAGTTCTAGACGAGGCATTCAAAGAACTACACAGAGTATACGAATCGAACGGGACTCCATTTGTGTGCATGAAGGAGAAAGTTCCGAGAGCAAGAGAAGGGAAACCTTTTTGACAGAAATCAGATATTATTACATTGAAGTACAGTGGAGTTGTGGAGTTGATGCAATTGAAGAGATTAATCAAGGTTTGAAGCTTGTTCCTGGGAAAGCATTTGGTATAAGCGGCTATGAATTCCGAGTGGAAGTCATGCGAAACAAAGAGCATGCCCCTTGTGAGCAGATAACCATGAAGCTTCTTGATGGCTGCGACATTCTTAGTTAGGTGACACTGTTGCAAAAATTGAATTGCAGAGTCGAATGTTTGAGTTGATTTGAAAAAATTGACGTAGGACATATAAAATCGGAGGAACTAGAATATGTGCTTGTTACATTTTCACTCGAAAAGTTCTTCGTCATTTTCTGAATCAGTTACAAAAGAGATAACTGTAACACAACATTTTCCCGTTCCGACTACAAAATTTACTTTCTTTTTCCCCATTTATTCTTCTCACTTCCATGGTGCCGAGGATATTGGAAAGAACTTGATGCTGATTGAATAATTACGAACATGATCATTTATCAAAGCAAACTTGGAACTCTGCAATTTTATGTCAATTTTCAGTTGTTAAATTAGTTTGAGCAGTGATACATTGGCAACGGCCATGCATGTGTTAATAATAATTAGAAATTTAATCCGCACATCACTAAAAGCAGAAAATAGTTGCGTTTTGCCGACGCCTTTAGCTGCAGTTTGCTAACGTGACACCCACAAATTGGAAAACAAAAACAGTAAACTAGCATGAGAGGTCCCCATCAAAACCTAATCGTTTTCACCAGTTAAGCTTTCTCCATCTTTGCCTAAAATCATTGGAGACAAGTACAGAGTTTGTAAGCTGGCATCCATTATTTTCAGTAATAGTTCAATCGGGTCTAATGGGCTTGCTTTACTCATTTTATAGTCCAAAATCACTTTTACTTTATCTCATTATAATCTCTTACCCATCTTGCCATCATATTCAAACGGCTACATTAATCTTTGAAAGAAATTCAACTAATAACAGAGGGAGAAAAAGGATTATGGACGCAGACAAGGGAGAAGAACAAGTGTTGAATGAATGGAATCATCTCATTTCAATATCATTTGATCAATTGAATAGTACATTTCGTTTCAATCACATGATATCTGTAACAATTCACTCTTTCTCCTTGAAGAACGTGGATAACTGAACGATCTTGGCTTGTCTCTGAGAGCTAGATGTTACTAGCAAGTCAATGAAACCTTTTGCTTCGAGTTCAGAGCGATCATCGATCCTTGCATTGAACGATGAAACTTCCGAGTGTTCTTCTGCACTCAGACAAATGCTTCAACCATGAAATCCCCTGGAGTTCATCAGAAAACTGCTTTGCATCGTTCTCGTCCCACGTTCTGCCACTTATATCTTCACAAGTGGTCTCCGTTTTTCAGCCACATACATATTGAACAAAGAGAAGCATTATGGCACCCAGAGAGAAGTGAGATTGATGAAAACATCTTCTCTGCAAGGAATTGTGAGACCACCCATGGGATGATTAAACCCAAATTCTTCCTCAGCCATGCTCAGCAATTCCCGGAATTCGGTTCATTTAGGAACGATATAGGCACCACGAACCCCTCTTTTCCTGTCCCCAACGTACACTACACTGCAAAATACCCTTTTGGAACCTTAGGGGACATGGAAGCCCCTTCTTTCCCTCTGGAAAGAGAACGACGCAGGATCTGCTTAAAAGCCATTGTTGCTATGAGAGAGGTAGGTTTGTTTGTGAGAAATGTAAGAAAACTTGATGATGGGATGGATGAGAATGGTGAATGGGTGTGTGTATATATAGGATGAATGGGTGGGCATGCACGCAAGTTGTGATACACTATGTGGCGTGTGGTAGAGGGGAAATGATACTGAGGAGACATAAACAAAAGCAGAGATCACATGGTTGTGCCTGGAAAAGCGGACGACCGAAATACATAGGACCCAACTTATCTGAGATGAAAGCAGAGGAGACACAGGTACAAATTGCTTGTCACTCTGTCTGGCGATGGCTGAGTAATTACTAACTAGGCACTGCTTGCTGCCAACCAGAAATTAAATGCAGAGACATATGTCGGGCATGCACGCAGTTGTGATCCTATGTGGCGTGTGGTAGAGGGGAATGATACTGAGGAGACATAAACAAAAGCAGAGGATCACATGGTGGGCCTGGAAACGAACGACCGAATATACATAGGACCCAACTTATCTGAGATGAAAGCAGAGGAGACAGGTACAAATTGCTTTCACTCTGTCTGGCGATGGCTGAGTAATTACTAACTAGCACTGCTTGCTGCCAAACAGAAATTAAATGCAGAGACATATGTCGCAGCATTTTACAATTTTACTGTCACCTGTCGGTTTATTACCCTTGCTGCTTAGTTGGCTGGATCATATATGTTGTTACCATCTCGCTGCAAAATATCTGGTACGGTAACTCGGCCTTGTTTCATTCTGTTTTTTTTTTTTTTCGAAATTGTTTTAAGAAATTGTTTTTTAAAACAAATTTTGGGTTAAAACTTAAAAGCATCTGTTTGAATGATTGTTTCAAAGAATCATACTTGGGAATAAAAGTATTCCTTCTATTCTATTTAGAATCAGTTTTATAGTGTAAATTATATTTATAGAGACATACACTATAAAAATGAGTATTATATTTAGATTTTGTTTGAAATAATTGTTCCTAAAGTTAATTTCAACAAGCATAAAACTAGAGAGCAGCGAATAGATTACATTGAAATTGGCAAATTCAAGTGTGAGAGGCAGAGCATAACAGTGAAAGAAGATATCTGCTTCTTATCCAATTTTACCGGACAAAAATCATTTGCTAAAAAATAAGAAAACACACAACAATTAATTTTTAATTTTTTTTTCAAAACATAATTTTCTTGTTTTTTTCAAATATTTAACTAAAAAATTAATTATCAAACAGTTTTTTTTTTAAAATGTTTTGGAAATAAAAAACCAAACAAGACCCGATGGATGCTTAAGAAGGGAAGTAGCCCTCGGAAGAGATCATGTAATGTTACCGTTAAATGCAAACTCATCTCAACTTCGAAGATAGCCAACATGAACTTGACCATCAGCCAGATCATTTTGAGTTCATATCGTTTAACTCTTGAAGACATCAAGTGTCATCACCATAAGGAGTAAACTCCAAAGCTTTATATTTACAGTGGTGAGATTTAACTCTGATTAGTTTACTGAAGTGAAAAGGACATCTCAACTTTGTGAAGTTGCGCAAAAGGCAGAAAATAGTTGCGCCTTATAGGGCCTTTTTTGGTACAATTGCATTGTTGCTTTTGTTACGAACGGCCACACTTGAAAACTAATAACGCGTGAAGAACAGGAGAGGTCTTTTCTAACTTGTCACTATCAAAACCCCACATTAGCCTAAAATTATTGGAGACAACAACTCTATTTATAAGCTGGCACAATCAATTAGTTTTTTAATTGCGCGTATTGCACTCGACGATCTCAAGTTTTTGCTCATAGGTAAAATTATTAACAAATAAACCTTGATCGGATGCCCATACTATATTCTGTCACAATCAAATTTAATGCATTTAGGATGACTGAGGGTTAGGCCAACAATGATGTGTTAAGTGAAGTTCCATGAAGAGGTTTTAGTATCACTTCTCACGCTTTCTCATATCCATATCCAACGCAGGGTGGGAATTCAGTACGCGCACACACACACAATAAATGAGTAGAATTAATTCAACAGTTCTGAATAGAGAAGAGTAATTTGAATATCATGTATGTCCATTAATGAATGAAACTTTACAATTCACATAGTCCGTGCGAAAATTCAGTTTTCCGGATCAAAGAATGACGAGAATCCTTAGGGGCAGCCCTGGTTTTGTGTAACTGTGTCTTGGCTCGAGAGCTTGACCTTAGTAGCACAACAATGGAGCAGCTTGTGTCACCATCCTTTAGATGAAGAATTACAATACTTGTTTCCCCTTTGAGACATATGCTTCTCAACCATGAAACTCTCTCAACAGCGAGTTAATTCACTGCTCTTTTGATTTTTCCCCAGGTTGTAACTTTGCTTCTGCAGCCAACTGCGTAGGCTTTGAAGTTGAATCATTTGTGATCCTGACATGGTATGGGAACCTTCGTGACCAAGTGCACAAGGGAAAAACATCATGGTACAAGGCGAGAAGTGAGATTGATGAAGATATCTTCGCTGCAAGGAATTGTGAGACCACCCATCGGATGATCAAACCCAAATCTTCCTCAGCCCTCCTTAGTAATTCTTGGAACTCGGGTTCGTTCAAGCACGAGACAGGCACTATGAACCCTCTTTTTTGCTCTTCTCCCACGTACACTGCAAGATACCCTTTTGGAACCTTTGTAGACATGGAAGTTCCTTCTTTCCCTCTGGAAAGAGACCTACGCAGGATCTTCTTAAAAGCCATTGTTTCTATGAGAGAAGAAGGTTAACTTGTTTGTAAGCAATGTGAGAAAACTTGGTGAGATACATGGGGGATGGTTTGTGGGCGTATATATAGAGATGATTTTTAGTTTGGGAGGGAGGGGGGTTTTGTGAGCAGACTGTGATATCTGCAATGAGTGGTGTGCGAGAATGTGAACGGACATTGGAAAGTCATGAAGCATTCGAAGGATCACATGGCTCTGTCCTCAAATGCAGTGTTTGAGAGTTAATGTGTGTGGGGACACATTGTGCTCAACATATGTGAAAATTCAGGTGTATAGGACCCCACTTATCCCAAAAGAAGGGAGAGGTCCTTGTTGAAGTTGGGAGCCAGACTAAGTCAGTTACATTGATCGAAGTAAGGGAAGCAGATGGATCACTTGCATGTGACTCTGTCCAGAGATAGTTGAATCTGGATAATTCTAAAGTTTTGTTCCCTGAGAGAAATTTCTAGGTCACCGATCAGATGATCATGTCCAAATTCTTCCTCTACCTCACCCGACAAATCTTGAAATGAAGTTTAGCATGACATGAGAACTCGTTTTACCTCCAAGACACATTGCAAAATTTCCTTCCGTTTTTCTAGATGTTTGTTCATGCCTTGTGCTATAGCTGCTCTTTTTTAAGGCATGTTTTAAACATTGCATGGGCCACCTATATTTTTGCAGCAACAACACACAAAAGTATGAACTCTGAGACGAAAATGGGTGATAGTTGCAGGCTAAGTCACTTTGTACAAATAATTATGATAAATGTGGAGTATCTGTTGGACAAAGTACAATATCATCTCATTTGATGATGTTGTCAACCATCAAGAACCTTAAAACTCTCTGGAGAGGAAGTTTAAACTCGATCCTAAATAACCTCGCCTTTTCTGCTAAATATTTTTTTTCCTGATAGAGTAGAGCCATTGGAATTTCCCTCGGCTACTCAGCATGTTGAGTAGAATAATACATTTATTCAGTTACATAGAGTATGCACTAAGAAAATGGGTGATGATAGAAGTTCTTGAGTATATTTTTTGTCACTACGCTACGGCTTTTTGAGTATGTTTTGATTTCCAGTAGCAAATGAGACGAGGAAAATCTCTTACTTTGAAACCAGATTTCAATGATCGTTTGATCTGGCATATGAGTATGCATGAAATATGTAATACATTTGGTTCTTGAGATTTGATCTTAAATAAACTAACCCTATGACGATTACGAGGGCATTATGTCGAGCCGAAGAGATAACTTATGAATTCCTAAGGTAAAAAAATAAATAAATAAAATGAAGGCACCATCCTAGACTCTTACAATTCCTATGCTTATCACTGATGGTTTAGGCCCGTAGAAGAGCGTGACGGATGACATGCTGAAGAAAATTGCCTTTATTGCTCTAATGATCTGCGAGAATGAGGATTTTGGTGGACGAAGAGAAAACTTGGTTGGTTATTTGGGCATATTGGGTGTGTGTATATGTAAGGAGAAAGATGCAGGGCAGAAATTTTACGAAGCTGAAGAATCACTGTGTGCAGGTAAAGGCACAAATGTTTGATAGATTGGTCATATAATTTTTTATTTCAATGCATCTTCAAGAACTTTATTGTGATTGAATCTGCATGTGAGATATATATGTGCTACATTTTACATTTTGGATCCCATTTGAATGGCCACAGCCAAGCGGATCTCAGGCTTCAGTGGATCCAAGACTAAACTCCTTCTAAGGAAACACATATTAACCCATAGAGATAGGAACGAATTATATTCAAGTTATATTAGGTTTTTTCCTTACTGAACACGAAAATCAGGTTCTTGAACTTTCTTAAAGAATCAGTCTTTCCGGTAAATCAAATATATCAGTTCACTTTTGTTTTGAGTTGAACAATTCAAAGAAAAGCAGTTACTAGTAGTATTAATAGAATTAAGCATAGACGAGAACAGTAAAATCATTCATGATGGCGGCATTGGTTTACATTGGCATGTAGGGTTTTTCTGTCACTAACTTCCTAACGGCTCCTCAGTGTGCCATTTCTAACGACCAGCTAACTAACTACCTCCATCTCCCTCACTGCTATCTCTGTCATTCTGTTGCACACATTCGGTTGCCTTCCTGTCAGTATGGTTAGCCATCAAAACAATGGTGGTATGCTTGACTGAATTTGAGGTACAGGTCAACTGAGGAGCGTGTCCAAGACATGGTTGTGAATATATAAATGAATTGGATAAAGTCATTGAGATTTAACAGAAAACTGGAAGACGAGCAATATTTTCTGTCTATAACTATCCATCCAATCCAGGTTTTTTTTTCCCAGCTGACAGGTGAAGGAACAAACAAAAGAAAAGTTCCTTCTGTACAAAATTGCCTCAGCTAATCTTTAACAATCCAATTCAGCAAAAGTTACAGCCCATTCATGCCAGAAGTGAGGTCTAAGAACACATCTTCTGTACACGAAATTGTGAGACTACCCATTGGATGCTCATATCCAAATTCTCCTTCAGCTTGGTTTAACAATCCTTAAAATGAAGGTTTGCTAAAGTATGATATGGGAATCACAAATCGCTTCATTTTTTCTCCAGTGTAGACTAGAAGATAAACCTTTGGGACTTCCATAGCCTTTGAAGCTGCTCGAGTTATAGAAAATGATGATCTTTTGATACCAGGCAAGCGGAACCCCATTTTTAAGAAAGGATTTGACTGATAAAAAAGAGTGTTTCTATGAATTTCTCATTCGAGAGAAAAAATTGTCCAATTTCCACGGAAGGATTCATAACTATTAATTACTTTGCATTATGAGAACATTTCTGCTGTCCTAAATCGGAGGAGTGTGTGCAAGACACTGGTTATTTACATAATCTTTGAGATTGACAGGATTCTTGAGGTTTAACAAAAATATAAGTAAAGAATAATTTCTGTTCATAACTAATTTCAGATGACGTTTTTCACCTACATAAGAAGGACCCTATGAAATTTTATATATTTGCCAGTTTTTACAGGTTCTTTCATCACACCATTTCCGTAATTTGAGATATAATTATAGATGAAAGTTCTTTCCTTGTGAAATGTAATTACTAATTTGAGAAAAGAAAATATATTCATTTTTGTTATGGGATTTGAGTATGAAATGTTTATCTTTTTTATAATTGAAATAAAAATGTTTCGCTAATTCTTGTGGCCGGTTTCCTAAGATTTACCTACACTTCTCTGCAGACCCTTGATATCGCCCAAGAAAAGTCTTAATTGCATTTTACGGAACAAAGAATAAATTATGTTTTCTCCATTTCTGCAAAATGATCAGAAATAATCTGGTAATCTAATCTGAAAGTTCAATGTCATTAATAATCAAAATGACAAGTCACGAATTTCTCATTGAACACTTTCATTTCTTGAATAATTAAAGAGAAAGGGAAACAATCTTCACAAAACTGTATTGTGAACTCACTATGTTAGTCTAATTTCTGTACAATCTATACCAGTTAGCCTCCATTGAATCTAGAAGTAGTTGAGGAAGACATCTTCAGTGTAAGGAATTGTGAGACCCCCATTGGATGATCAAATCCAAATTCTTCCTTAACTTGACTTAGCAACTCTTGAAATAAAGGCTGGTTCAAGTATGATATAGGGATCACAAATCTCTTCATTTCCTCCCCAACATACACCGCAAGGTACCCCTTCGGCACTTCACTGGATTTTGAAGGGGAAGCCTTCTTGATTCCAGTAAACGAAAACCCATTGCTTTAATGTGTCCAAGAAGAGAACAAGACGTGTGATGACTTGCAGAAGAAGATCAGATGAAAAGAGAAAAAACAAGTGTTTGAATTTGGTTGGTAGACGATATGGTGAAATATTTGTGTTGCTTCGAAACCTATGCAAGAATGAGTAATATATAGATGAAAGACTATGTTAGGGAGAGACAAGGCCTCGTGGGAGTTCACACGGCATTGTTTTTGAGAAATATTTTCAAGAGTCAACAATATGCTATGCCCCACCCTCTTGAGGCCTAACATGATCTGTTTTTGGTACGTTTCGATTTGACCCATTGCATTGTTGATCTGCTTACAGAGATATCTCACTTGTTTCCTTTTTTCTTCTCTCCGCAAACAGATATACAGGGAAACTTGCGGTACAAAGGGGATGTATGGTTGAAGTCTGGTGTTGCCTTCTAGATGGAATACAGAAAATGATTATATATTTTGAAGAAACCTATAAAAATATGACTTTGCTTTTTGTGTTTTAATTATATTTTTGTAAGTTTCTTTCTAATTAAAGAAATCAAATTTGATTTTGTTTCTATATTTTATTAATAAGTTCTGATCAAGTTTCTTTTAAGGAGACCAAATTTGATTTTGCTTCTATATTTTATTAATAAGTTGTCATCGATTTTACTTCATATGAAAGAAATCTTGATCTATTAGGACTAGGCAGCATATCCATGGAAGACTTGTTGAATGATATTTTGAGCTATGTGAATCTCTCCCTTTAGCCTCTGTTCTCTCTCTCTGTTTTTCCCTTCATTCTTCTTTGTTTCTGCATCTCTTCCCCCATAATCTCTCTCTGTTTTCTATTCCCCTCACCATCACGGTTTCCATTAACTGTGAGTGTGTGATGTGTTACATTACTTCTTAATAAACATACTCTCATAGTCATAGTCTATGTTACCAGTAAAAGCTACAGCAATGTGTGCTGTTTTTTTTGTATCTTCAGCTCCTGGTTTTCTTTTTCTCTCTGAATAGATCAATTCAAACCTAACGTATGTCTAATATTTATCTCTGATGTCATTTTAATTTCAAGACATGCTTAAGACCTGTTATCTTTCTTTTAATTTGATCACACAAATTATAAAGCATGTTCCAGAAGTTAATTGAAGCTAAGTAGTTGTTGGCATGTTTTCAAATAAAGAGCTTCGAGCCTTTTGATTTTAGAAATTGCTGTCGTGAAATTGTAGATGAAGAGAGTATTTCAGAGAACCATTTGGTCGTGAAATTTCTAGTAGGATCATGCGATGATGTCTTGAAGTGTCTTTGTCAATTTAACAAGAAGGATAATTTGTTTAGTGCAATTCAGAACAGAACCCAACGTATATCTTATGTTTTCCGTTGTCGTCATATTAATTTTTATACATGCTTAAGACATATCA